GCCGATGTTTCAATTTTTACGAAGCTCGTGCAAAGATATTGTAATAACAACGCGTATTATCTGCCGACGATCATAAATCGACCGGCCGACGAGATTATGACGTGACATCGCTTACTTCATGTCCGGGACAGAGACGTTGGTATTTTTTATGTAGAAAAAATAACAGATGCGGGTGACGATAATATGTTAATTTTGTAGTGCAATTCTCAATCGTACACCAAGTCGTTTGGATTGTTCACGTCATAAAAAATTACAGTCTTCTTCTTAGTTGTCGTTCCGTCCGTCAATCGTTTGTTTTGTTTTTACGAGATTAAAAGGTTTTTTTACCCTGCTACACTGTGACTCGAACAATTTTACGCTTGCACACTTTCACGATGCACATAAAAAACGGCTGTTTAGTACTTGAATAATAATAATAATGCCTAAAAGTAAGTGCCTACTACTAAGTACAGCGAGGTAAAGAAGAACTTGTGCGGACAACACAATTACTTTTAGCTGTGACCGCAGTGAAATGAAAAATAGAGTAAACGAAATTATCATAACGCAGTGACGTCACCCGGGGCGGCCTCCTTAATTATTGTGTTTTTCTCGTTTAAGTAATCTTTCGGACAAACAGTTTTGGTTTTCAATCTCAACTCGGTCTGCCGGTAATGAGCTCCGGATAATACTCACCTACGTTTATTCATTTCCACTGCACGGCCGATAGCCGCCACACGGGTAATATTATGAACGCATTTGTATGCAAACGATAATAACATTTGTGAACGATAATGATAATAATCGTACACTAATAATAATAGTAATAATAATAATAATAATAATAAGTGTACACTGAATCTTGACAGCCGCTACGAGTATCGTTTGCCGGAGACACTTTTTATTCGTATAATGAAATTTGATATTGTAATTTCCGAAGATTTACATCACTCGTGAAACGGTTGCATGTGTTAACGTAATAAACTATGAGCGTGCACGTTATACGTGTGCGTATTATTATTATTATGTTTAGTATTTTTATTTTAATATTTTTGGCTGAGCAATAAGCTTCACGTAGATTTCAAGTCGTCAAAAAACCGGCGCATAATATACTGCGATTTACGGCCGGGGACAACCATATAAACTACTAACGTGAAACTGGAAAATAGTCACGTCGAGGCAAAAAGGAAAACCATTTTTGTGAACCCGAAGAGTATTATATTAATAACACAGTCGCGACCGAACTGTAATAAAATGAAAAATAATGTAAATAACCGACTACGGGATTCTGTTATTTCCGAGACCATTTCCAGTGGCACTTGGTCATTATCATAATTTTCTTATTTTTTCTCTCTCTTCGAGCATATTTATAAGTGTAAACAATCGATAGTGGAACACACGAGGCGCAATAATTTAACTATGACAGAAAAAACGTCATCTAATATGTAGTACATTTAGTAAAAAACGGAATTTATTGTCGTACTCTTGGCCGTATTCTTCTGTCGACTAGCGCGTGGGGCCAACTGGTCAACGGTTGGGTTCTTAGAGGATTTTAAAACATCAAACTTAACCAAAATTATTCAACTCATATACTCCTCTGGCCTCTCCACAACATACATTCTCGATATACGATAATTATCGAAGGTACTATTGTTTTAAACTTTCTTCTTGCTCAAGAGGCAATATAATTATTATTGCTGTAGTTTTTTTTTTTTTTTCATTAACCGCTCACCGCCCACGACACTTTTTATCGTGCAGCTCGCGCGAAGACCGGTTTTCTCTGTTGTATGCTAAATTTTTTACCGCAGTAATTATCCTGTGCCGCGGATCAACGCTGTGTATATTAATAGTCGGCATCGGCCAAGGGTATTGTTTTTGCTACGAGCGCGCACGCCATATTGTGACGCCCACCGTGCAGATGTAAAACAAAATATTACATTATAATTTCCATGCCTGAATGTTATGTGAAAAATAAATCTGTTACCGAGTACTTATAGTTAATCGTGAACGCCGTGTACTATGAAGTTTTCGTAAGCTAACTACGTAAATTATATTTTTGACACACTACCATAATGTAATTGGTTTGTTTTTACAAGAAAATATCATACTGCCAACGTTAGCAAACAAAGTATTCACATATTTCCAAGGATTTAATTAGCGGTGGCAACTCATATATCTCGCATATTAATCGAATAGAGGACAATGCAGTATGCCTAATGCATTCGAATCTTTTGAAACCTTAAAAACCGGGTAAATAGAAATTCTTGATTTTAAATTCATAACCCTAATAAGTTAGTTAGTAAAATAAAAAACTGGTAAATACTCGTGTCATGGTTTTGTATATATTTTTTATAATATTTATATCTCAGTTTTCTACGTGATATGGATCAGAACAAGTGGTTTCTTATTTCAATTTCTTCAGAGTCCGTTTGAAAACGTTTATAATTGATTTGTATACATAACAGAACGATATACTTTGAGAACACACTACCGTAAAAATTATTCGTAAGGTATGATAATATAATGGATGCCAACAAAAAATTAACATGATAAAATATTCGAAATTAATCTCTTTAAAATCTCTTATTAAATATTAATATTAGTTCTATACAATGACGACTTCTATATGTATGTAAAATAAAAAACAGCAAGTAGATTAAAGTGTCAGATAATTCGAAGTAATACGAGTGACGGCCAGTTTCTGATTTAAACATTTTTGCAATATGTTATGATGTCAGTTAAACATTCTTCTGAGAACTCAAAAGCGTTGTTCTTCAAGACCCCGGGACAATTTTCTTCCTCTCTTTTTCGCCAGTGTGTACTCAGCTAAAATTCTTGTAGGGTACATACAGCCTACGGCTCTATACAATAAATTATTGCCAGACGTCTTATCCAAATCAACGTTAATATCTAGAAAACCAAAATATTATATGAAAAATTATGCTCGGCTGTGATTCATAAACCCTAGTGATTCATATCCGTTTCTAGACTTGTGCTAATGGGGGACATTGCGCACACGGGCAAAGTTTCCAGCACAATACTGGTATTTTACATATACAATAACACATTCGTCGAGGCCGTAAAAAATTGCAATATTTCAATGTGCATGTTGCACATCACATACATGTCGTTATATTGTTTCCTGTGAATTGCTTGCGATAAAGCGATTTGCATGAACTTCTTTCTATTGTACCGTTTTTCTGCGAACCGTTTGATTCTCGGCCATTTTTTGTGACACAAGGACAGTCTATGTATTGCCTACCTATCACATTTAGTTTCTAATTGCGTCTATTGTGCACATCATTGCTCAAGTGAACGCACTGATCACGAAATTCAATACTATCATGCACAAATATAGCGATCTTCGATTACTCTTCTAATTATTTTAGCCCAACTGTTGGATAACGAACAGGAAAAAGCAAATAACAATAAGATCAACGCATAAAGTTTTCATATTTGTGAATATATACTTTTGGCATTAGTCACTATAAACGTCATTATTAATCATCTTGCAATGACATAATCTATTCGACATGTTCTTTTTTTCAATTCTCATTACGTACGAGACATAACTGTGATAATAAATGTAATTTAACATTAATAGTTATGACGAACGGTTTGTGACTTACTCGAGTACATGTTCTGTATAAACAGTGCAATAAAATAGGATATTAGAATAAGATTTTTTAGAACAGTGGCAGAATAGAGAAACGAGAAAAATGTTTAGCATAATTATTACCTATTAGCTTATATTATTGTGTACAATAATGAACCTAAGCTGAAACTTTCACAAGTCGTAAACCATTGTCCGGTAGTTGTACCAAAAAAAGTTTAACGAGTAAAAAAGTTTTTGTTAGCAATCTAAAGTTATAATAAAAAGTTAAAACAAATACAAAAGATATTTGAGTTCTAACCATTTGTTTTCAAATTTCACTCGTTTTCTTTTCATTTTTTTAGACTTCATACAAGCAGACGTATTAGCCCTGTGATGACTGATAATATGTATCATGTTTAATTATTAAAAATTGAACGTCTAAAACAATGTTGTACAGTAAATATCACCGAAAATCAACTCATACTCTACACATAGTCTGCATTTCTTATGAACTACGAACTGACCACACAGGCTCGAATCTTTTCACATTGAATATACAAACATTTCTCACTCGCTTTTTATTAAAATAAACGAGATACCAGAGGCAATTATCTAGCGAGAAACGGCAGCTTGCCGTTCTAATAATAATACATGTAGGTAGTTGCCGTAGTAAATAATAACGATTACTACTATTATTATTAACAATGTAATAATTTATTTAAAATCGTATAACAAACCCGATTACCACCGGAGTGCATGCTCTCTTAAACGGTTCTATAATGATATTATCATTTGGCGGCGAATGATGTATGAAGAACGTCGACCAGAGGAAGGAAAAAGAAGCCATACTTATTAATAACCAGAAATGCGTTCCCTGCCGATAATTACAAATGTATTCAGTGGTCGTGTAATTATGTGATATTATAATAATATTAATAACATATACGCTACCATCGGCGATGGTTTTTCAATTGAAATTATTACCTGCAGAGTATACCGAAACGATAGAGACTTCATAAATACTGCACAATAATGATAGTGATCGAATTGCCAACTCGAACGAACGTCACCTCTGATGTACTTAATAAAAATCTGATACCCAATAGTTCAAGGAAAACAACTGACAACTCTTATTGATTAATTAAAAGGGTAATTTATAATTATACCTGCAGATTCGAGTAATAGGATAATGCAAAGAATACGCACGTGTACTCTTAAAAACACAAACGCAACTCAATAAAATATACCGACTTCCTCTACGATACAAAATTCCGGTCGTCGTCGTCGTCCTATAGAGTGAACCCAATGCATTTAAATATTAATCAAAGTGCCATTTGTATGTGAAAAAAAAAACTGGTTTGGGTCTACTAGATTTCATTCATTTAAAATAACACTTATTCATATATTTTACTATGTTTGATATTATTACCTTGTTGGGCGCATTGCAATGCCACGCTGACTTGTGATCCATGCCTACAACCTGAAATATATAAAATCAAATTATTTTAGTCCACTGTTTAACAAATAGTAAAAACATACATCATTATCTAAAAAAAATAGAAGCAATACTATTATTTAAGCTTCAAATCATAGATTTGTTGAAATATAGACTGCCGGCTACTATATTATTAAGTTGTTTATTATATCCACCCACTGCATTCATCGAAACCTAAATTGGATGTATAAAAAAAACACGACCGGTAGCAAATTTTAATTTTTTTTTAATATTAGGTTTTTTAATGTAATATATAATCGCCGTTATAACGTTACTTGATAATAAATAACTCCTTGAATTAAACCGAATGATCTATAAAGAGTTCAAACTAGCAAAGTAATTATTTTTTAAATGATTTTCAATCAAGTTCGAATTTAACTGTTGGGTTATTTTTCATTTTTAAAGTAGGATTTAAAAAACGAGACATAAAGTAGAATATTATTCATAAAATGTTGGCGTAGTTTAACAATAGTTAATGACTAAAAAATAATGAAAATTTTTGTTTGGTTTGGGCACTTCATAACTTATGTATTTTTACCGTTTAGTCCAGTGTGAATAAAATTTGATTATTCATATCAAAGCCCATTCAGAAACGAGATTTTTTTTTTTATTAAACAAGGGAAAGCAATATAATATCTTTTACGTGGTACTTGCTACATAACAGGAAAACATTTTTAACAGCCAGCTTATTTTATTATTTGATGATGAGGATATCCACCGTCAAGTGAATAGATTTTGCTCGTGTATTTATATAGTTGTTGCAACCGGTTTACTTTTATTTGATAAATCTAGTAGTTTTTAAATTTCTACTCATTTTAAAGAGCACTGAATGAAAAAAAAAAATTATTTATATGCGCATTTTGAATTACCAATACGTTTTTGTTGTGCGACTGTAGCCCATTAATTATTTTATCTCAAAATGGATTAGAGTCTCGCAATACTATTATTTATAGTCACCTAAAGTGTATAGTATTAATAACAGCTTTAATTGTTCGAAGCTAATATATTATAATCCCTATACGTGTAATCTATACACATGTGTGCATATACATGTATTAGTAAAATGTAAATTAAACTACTATTTTTAAAAGTGTCAAAAAGAATTTCATCGGCAGTAAAAACAACCAATACTAGTTTATATGTAACACATTTGCATTACATCATTTTTACATTTATTCTATTTTAAATTCTATTATTAATTTTATATTGTTTTTTCATAACCATTCTCAGCAAAACAATTTATACTTTTACGTTTGATAAATAAAAGACTCGTTAATTGCTATTTAAACTGTTAATGGACAAAAGCAAATAATCTTGAGCGGCTCGGCGGCGTTTATTCAGACACGTTTCATGTGCAGAGAATAACAGCTAAGGTACACCGCAGAAAATTATCACATTACCATATACGTCAATACATACGTTCAAAAAAAGAAGACAATTTTCCTAAATCCACATTCACGGTAACACATACATATTTATACGCTTAAAAGAGAAGTAAGATAAGATAACACAGCAGATGTAAACAATACCCAAATACACACACAAGTAAAAAACAGTCATTCAGGAAAGTGAAGACTCGGTAAAAACCAATATTTGCTCAACAAAACCAGTTATTATTTATTATAACTTATTTTTCTGTTTTAGTAGAAAAAAAAAAAATTATTAGGTATTTCGTAGTATCTGTGTTTGTTGCCTCTTTACTGTCATTATTTATGAGATCACTTTGTTAATAACAATGTTTATCATTTGTGATACACACGCGTATTTTTAGACACAAGTCATAAGCTTACCATTTGTAAATAATTAGTCAAGTTAGTCATTTGTAGAATTTTTACGTATTGGCAACGAGATTAATAACACATTTAGTTACACTTGTTCGCATCCATTTTTCATAGAAAAATGTTCAACGTTTTAAGGTTTCTCTGCCGTCTTTTTACTTCTCTATCCTTAGGTATACAAACATGACTCAAGATCTTCCATGCATCATACACCTCTTCTTCCTTTACCAGTTATAGTAAAAAATGCGTAGAGTGGGCATTGGTATGGTGGGCGCCGTAAGAAGACCCAACGAAATATGATTGCCAATATTTGGTGAATTTGCGTGCGTCACAGCTATAATATTACCAAATATAATCGAGTTAACTCCACAAATACTGTGATAATATAATAGAATACTTTTAACCACTGTATAACACGTCTACTGCGCACTACAATGACCATAATTGGTATTATCAAAAACTATCACGCAAACCGTCAAAATTTACCGATGCATATTTTCTTTAGGTGTGAAACCTGTTTATAAAATCACCAAAGAGACAGTCAAGTGACTTTTTTTTATTCATTCAACCAATAAAAAACATCACTGTGCATTTAAAAGCTGTATGGGCACACCGACAAAAGGGATTCTTTCCAAATGTTGTACATGTGAACTACGATAAATCATACAAGAGTATGCTGTATTAGTCTTAACTGCGTAAAAAGTTAATAATAATTTCTAAATTATTTTTGAAAAAAGTAATCAATACAATTCAAATTTATACTAATCACATAAATTATAATTTAATCAATGAAAACATAAAATAGTTGAAATTAACATATAAAAAACGTACATAAATTATGAGTAATATTAAAAAAACGTGCAAAACAAAATAATTAAAAGTGTGCAGTTATATATATTTTTATGATTCACTCGAGCAGTGACGTAACTAGAGGGGGGCTAAAAGGACTATAATACCTCCCCATTAGACAAGTATTACTGTTAACAGTATATGACTTGGCGCTAGTAAGAGTATGCGAAGATAAGTCTTTAAGCCTCCCCCTCCCCTCCCTAAACAAAAATCCGTGAAAACTGTCAATTATTTTTTTTTTACTTCACACAAAATGTTATTATTTTATTAAAATTTTTTAAATCCCCAACAATCATCAACAGATCGCTTATGTGCTAATTGATAATAGGATTTTTAAGAATTATTCATATTTTTCGGAATTTGTGAAATGTAGTTCTATAAGTATTGTTTGAGTTTGTAGAATGTACTTTTTCAGATTTGTCGAAACTTACATGTATAAAATTTTGGAAGGATCACTTCTATCAGAGTTTACAATTTCTTGATTTTAATTTTCGATATAAACGGTTGACCCAGTCAAATAAAATGAGTTATTGCAACGGTAACAAATTTTAGTTGTCCTGAAATTGAACTAAGAACGAGCAATAAATTAAATAAAAAATTATCATTGATCATTAATATTAATTACTAATAAATGACGCATGAAAAGTGGGCAGGTATTCGAACACTGCTTAGTTAAGTGGTCATCTGTCTTATATTGGCTTCGACCACATTATTCATGTCATAAAGTATACGAAGAATATATATATTCTTCGTTTGTTTTCTTAATATATATATATAGATTTCAACAACTATAATTTTTCCAATCAAACCCAGCCAAATCTCAATAATTATTGAGTTTAGGTCTACGGATTGTCTGAATACTGACCAAACAAGTCGGTTCGTACAGACATATAAACTGTTTATACAGTTATTGATACATATCAAATGAACCGATTGTGGCTAAGCTATTTCTCTGTTGGAAGATCGTTTGCGGTTGCTACACTGCTTCACAACAGTTGATCGCGAAATACTTAAGTTATCTATTTATCCACTTAAACACATCAAGTCGTTGCGTACAAACAATAATGTAACTCGGATACGGTTGTCGTGTTGTCTGATCGCCATGGCGCAAACCCAGTTTATACGCTTGACTGGGTATAGTACTAGGTTAACTGTTGAAATTTTCACCGGAAAAATTTCCCGGCACTAAGTAAGCAAGAGTAAAAAAAACTCGGTCTTATAACAAACTGGTTTGCGTTTGTTTTTTAAACGCACCGCCGGCCACCCACGCCGGCCTAATGTAAACAATGGACGGTCAATTGTCGCGCGATGCGCCAGGTCGCGTTCCTTTCTAGTTGCCAACACGTTCCCGTATATGAATTTATAGTGCGTATTTATTTGCGTTTTCGTTTAAATGTAATAACAATAAGCTTTACAATGTTTACAAACTGCAATGTGCACCTGAAGGTAAAGTTAAAACTACACACGATCGAACGGTGCGATTCGCACGACAAAGTCGGATCCGAAGATTCTCAGACTACTGCCGCACTTTGCCAACACTGATCGCAGTTGTAGTACAATTGGACCGTTATTATTTTTTGTTATTACTGTAACGGCATATCCAAGTCTTGAGATTTTATATTAATATATTATCAGAATATTATGATTAAACTAAAAATAATGTATAAGCGGTGAAGCAAGTCGATGATGTTTTTAATAATGCTTGTAACAATAATAACATGGTCGATACAAAATATTATGTCTCCTGAACATCAATAGTAATTGCGAATGTCACAGGAAAAATATGAAAACTTAATGCTGTTTGTCAAACATAATTTTACTTTAACCGTAAACGCCAATGATATCCCCTATTTAAACAAACCTAATTGATTGATAAAGGCAATGCAAATTTCACTGTAACCCTTTTGCACTCGTGGAGGATGTATAGCAATCGTCTAACATCATAAAAATATTGCCACTGACGTAAATACTAAAATCTGGAAACCAACAAAATGTAGTTTACATTAACCGTTTAGTTTAAACGGTTTAACGACAAAAACTAACTTGATCACATTATTCAACCACGCACTTTTTGTATTGAAGATCATATGCGCGTTTTTTATGGTGTGCATTTTACTTGGAAAATGTCAAAGGAGAGTTAACAATCGAGTGTTTTTTATCAATAANAACTAAACGGTTTAACGACAAAAACTAACTTCATCACGTTATTCAACCACGCATTTTTTGTATTGAAAATCATATGCGCGTTTTTTATGGTGTGCATTTTACTTGGAAAATGTCAAAGGAGAGTTAACAATCGAGTGTTTTTTATCAATAAAAAAATTATATTCGATTTGTATGCAAAGTTAACCCAAAATCAACCTTCAAATAGAAATACCAATGATCAGAACTAACCACATTTTCTTAAAGAATAATTTTAATAAATAATAACATAAAATCGCGATATTAAACTACTACTATACACCAGCCCACGCTATGGCATAAATATTGTTTATGGCGAAATATTAAGAAAATCGTCAAAAACGTTTAGGAATATTAATGCATTTATCAGCAGCTGTTTAATTTATTCACTTTTATTGCTTAAAAACAGGGAAAACAGTTAAAGTTAATTTTTTTCAACTGTTCTTAACGGATGAGGAAATAAATTATTAATCAGAACATTAGTGCCAACTTTATTAATAATGCTCATTAATACAACTAGTAAACAATTCAAATTAACGTTATATCTATTACATATTTAAAAGAGTATTAATAATTAAAGGTAATATTATTCATAAACACAAAAAAGTAAAAACGTCCTTGGGTATAGTGTTTAATTCACTTGTGTCAACTGAGTTATTTTGCAAAAACGTAAAAAATATAAAATATTACAAAATACAACTAATGAACATAAAAAAGTTTTTTAACACGTAATTTTCCTATTTAAGTACAATTTTTATTGCACCATTGATGAAGTTACATTAGAATAAAACTTTTAACTACCAATAGAAATATCACTCATTATGTTTTCAAGTGATCGATATGTGATTTAGACAATATCGCCAGTAACAATATTAATTTTGTATTCTCTTTTAATGAATGTAATGCTCAATTAAATAACCAAAACAAAAACTAACTCTACTGTAAATTATAAACTTTTTATTTCGGATATCGCATAGGTAAATAACACTCAAGAGCAAACTAAATGAATTTACCAAGAAATTGTTCTAGACATTCATTTTATTCTATGCAATTCTATTCCCCTTGCAAGTATTTTACTTATCTTACTCTGTATAAGTATATACTTAAAGCCTTTAGGCTAAAGGTCAATAAGTAACAACCAGTAATACACATTTAACAATATTTTTAGAAAATACTTGTTATTAACATAACACTGCAGGTTATATTTTGTTTTATGAGCTACTTGCACGGGTAATGAACATCAAGTACATGTTTCATAAGGTATACATTAAAAAGCAACTCTGAAATAATATATCATAAAATCTGCACATTAGACATTTCACGTTCAATCATATAGGCAGATTATGTTTTGTTTATTAATCTGTGGCATAAGCCTAGTGAATAAAAACGCATTTTTTATAAAAAAATATCTTAATTTATATTATTATTATTAAGATAAATGCGTTCAAATTTACCACGCGATCTTAAAAATAGATATATTTTATATCCACAGGAAGCCGACTATAATGAATATCTTTACCTATTATTGGCACCTTGCCACATTATATTTTTTTTATGTTTGTAACGATCAAGTTAATATAAATCCATGGTAGCAAAATTAGATTTCTTAATTTTCTAATTATTTTTAATGTCATATTTTTAGGTTGTATACATTTATTACATCAAACCAGTTGGTAAACCGAAGCACACAAACAGATTTCACTAAATATGTTTTGTTATTGCAAAAATGTTGTAATCCCTAATATTAGCCAAAACATACCGTAAACAATCGCCAATTATTGTAATCATATCCATAGATCATTTATGGAGGTTATTAAACATATTTATTCAACTATTAGATAAATATTATAATCTTCATTTTAAAAACAACCGTTAAATATTTAGTAATTCATTTTTAAACCACAACATGAAATACAATAAGGTTAGTTTAACAAGAGCATTTCAATGATTTCATTGAAATAGGAAGACCATCTTTCAACTGAATACACTTTTGAGATTGTGAAATATACACGAGGGATTTTTAATTTTTTAATTTTAATGATCTCTGCTTCGTATATCAGATGATTTGTCGGGCTATAAACAAATTGTAAGTCCCTAATGGAAGTTTTACTAGCCAATTTCATGTTTGAAATTTAAAGACCTTTTTTCAAAAACATACACGTGGAACCTTGGCAATTTTATTATCTTTATAAAATATCTAACAATGAACATTGCTGGGATTATTTGATTTTAAAATACATTCTGGTTTTATTTGGCACGTAAACTATGACAGAGGATTTGAATTATGCGTGTATTAATGTGCCCATTTTATAGATTTAAACGACAATGCACGCCATTCTGATATTTAAAAAAATGATGGCGTACACAAGTTAAAAAAAAACATATCGGTCACAAGTGGTAAATTACTGCAGTAAAAAAGTTAATAATTATAAACAAGGAGCGCATGGAATAATCTTAATAGCTCATTTGTACATCATATCTCTCTCCATACAGTCGACTGAGACGTACAGTAATAGAAAATTTGCTCATCAAAGTCCATACCCCTAACGTACAGCAGATGTTTTAAGGTCGCGTGAAGTCTATATTGATATATTCTGCTCCTTTTTGACACTATACCGCCTCTCGTTCTAAGATTATCGTTATAAATTTTATTTTTCAATCCCCTTAACAGCCGCGCGCCATTTATTCGGCACTCCGTTAATTTGAATACCGTAACATAAACATAGTTGGGTGCGAAAATTGTCTGCTCAAAAAAGTGGCGCGGTAGCATATGGTGTGTTTTACCCTTTTTCCGGTTATTTACCAAGATTGATTGTTTATATTTTGGAAGACACTAAACAGCCGTAACGATAATTATACAGATGTGTCTTAATTAAATATTTACAGGCTTTTTAATTTCCATATGTATGATAATCTATCATGTGTTAAAACAAAAACTAATTGCAATTTATGTATTAGCTTAATACAAAAAATACATATCGTATAACATTTCAAAAAAAAAAAATATGTGATTTGTTTTAATTAAAGATTAAAAAGCTCATATATACTTTTTAGACGACTACAGTTTTCCTATAATAGTATTAAAGTCACGTAAAAAACAGTTGTAATATTTGTGTTCCCTTGAGCAATTTTGTTGGTTGATGATTTACACCGGACATAGTTTTAACTTTAAATGATCCGTTAACAAAAAGTTAATTTCGAAAAATCACCATGGGTCTCGTACGAGGACTATTATAATCTCCAATCTGTGTAACCGGAAATGAAAAATACACATGAATGACGGTCACTGTGTGTCTTTACCGCCACCGCAGTAGAGAAAGGCCGAGCCCCCAAAATTGGTCACCGAGAATGACATCGGGTTATTATGAATATTATTATTCTATGTGTCTCGTGCACATGTGTTCTCCCTCTCAGTGCTAGAGGGTGTTGACTTAGGATAAAGTGAACCCTTATCGATAGCTAGTTTCCATTACATATGATGCCAGATCTGTTTAAACACAATATCATATCAGGCCATTTGCTTGTATCTTGAATAAACTCCAGCTACTATAGTACTACACCTCCTTTTTGGTTTGGGCAATGATGACGCCGGTCGTCGGTATTATTTTGTGTCGAAGCGGTGATGATGAGTTTCCGGTCGTTTTTTACATAAACTTAAACGGTTTACAGTCTATTTAAAATACTAAAACACACTATGTTTTCAACAATATCCTATCAGTCACAATAAAGATAATTTTCTATGATTGGACAAAAGTTTGTTGTTATGGCGAATTTTAGCAAATTATGATTTAACTTTAAAATCATCTATAGAAATTCATTAATATTTTATCCGATCAAATGAATAATACTGCTAGGAACATACATCTTACTGAGTATAACTGTTTTATATGTAACCCATTATATTAACATGTATAAAGTATAAAGGATATTTTTGTATAGGAAATTGTATGAACCATTCATTATAAATTCTACACTAACAATATTTACCGAATGCAAAATATGCTAAGCTTACATACAAACTCGATATTATTTTTATTATTAATACAACTTGATGTATTAATTATGTAAAACTGTGACCACATATGTTATGGTACAATGACTTCTGTTAATAGATTATTGACTATATAATATAATTCATTTTAGTTTTTGCATACAATTCATCGAAGAAAATATTTCAAGTCCCTTTTAAAACTGTTGAGTTGTCATATGTTAATATGCGTTATTGTCATAAAATGTAGATTGTTATAGCGGTTAAAATTTTTTCTTCGCGTAGAAAACTAATTTATTATTACAATTATTATTAAATTGTTTAAGTAGCGCACATAAATTGTCTAAGATTTATAGAAAACATTATATTAAAAATTAATAATTTGAATTTTTTAATATACCTTGGGGTCATTTTAAATAAAATTAAAATTGTAATTGAAAATTATTTTTTAGTTCTATGTGTTAATCATCCGCCCAAGGCACTCGACTTATAAATCGCACTGTTTTCATTACAGAATATTTTACTGAAGTATTACTTATACACTAAACAATTCAATCAAAATTTTTTTTAAGAGCTCCACTTGAAGTCTCTCAGATACTTGGTGCCTCGAAGTCTGCCATTTATCATGATCATTTCATGCACCACACAACCATTTTAAGGGGCGGTTCATGAACAGAAGCAGTTTTAGTAACACGGAAGCTCAATTATCGTTATTATGTTAACCAATCTAACCTTGGTTCACGTTATACGTCATTTGTAACTGTCACACTCCGCTGCGGTGTCACCGAAATGTATCAAGATCTGCTTCGAGCGGCTACTGGTATGTGTGTATTTGTATAAGTAAGTACGTGCGTATAACGTCCATTGTATACTTTTTTTTTTTTAATCCGCGACACGAGTTGGATACTTGCCCTATAGTGAATATGTATTACATTAACGTTATTAAACGAGGGTATATATACGAAGCAGTGAATATTGGATGTATGAATGGGTTTTGGTGTACACCTAAAACCCACGCGACGCCTAAGACCGCCCGGTGCGCTAGACTCAGGATATACAATTATTACACCCTCAACCCGCTGCAGTGGTCTACTATCCAATTTTTTATTATTTCTCTTTCACTGTAATCCGGATTACACGTTATTGCCGTAAGTCTTATCGGCTACCGTCGCCTGATCATCTATCTTCGTCCACCGACCAGTTGTACAAGCCATTGTTGCGCATTTGTCTCATAGCATACCTATGATTTACGTCGCACTCAAGTACACATAATATAAAAAAAACATGGAATAAATTATCATTACTTGGTCATTAGAAAATGTAAGAAGCGAACGTGATTTGATGGCACTCCACGCAGTTTTCCAGGATTTTACTGCAATCGATTTGCTAATTAGAGCGTCAACGTGATAATGCGGTCACAAAAGAATATTGTCACTCGGTCAAAATATTGGAATGCCTCGGTCTCGTGAAATACTCATTTTTCAAAATGCATATCAAATTTCCCGTACAACTTAGTAGAGAGAACAAAAATTGTTCGAGAATGGACATTAATTAGTGGCAGATAAAAAACCAACAAAATGTGATTGTACCATAGAAAATAGCACAATTACATGTTATACGAATAATTTTCAATTGTTATCAACACATTTATAAGTTAAAAATAAACTATTAATAAAACAATAAGACGTTTTCATTGAAATTAAAAAAAAAACGTATCGAATATCAACACTAAATATTTTTATTGAATTCAGAGGCATATTAAAAGGGGGGCGATAATATAATATTTTAAACTCTCTATTACCTAATATTTTAAATTATTAAAAAAATATAAAATGTTTGTTTTATATTAAAAGACGAACAATTACTTGAACACATAAAATCTTCATTTTAATTAAATCGACAAAGTTTAAAACTATTTCAAGTTTTGTTCCTTTTAACTGCAGTTTAAATTTGATTATAAATATTTCAGGTTTAAACATCAAAAATGTTATAGCTGTACACGATTTTTTAGGTTAATATTGGGAAAGATTTATAATATATGAAGCGTTTAATAAAAATACGAATATTAAGACGACGGCATAATATGACTATTAATTCATTCGAATTACTTATTAATAAATAAATAAATATACATTTAATATGAGATTATTTCTATTCTTGATCACTTTGTAAGGTAATGTGATATTAAAAAACCATTAGTTTTAATAATAATAAAAACTTAAAGTACTTCATTACATTTAATGTAGCGAAGTACTACAGAGAGAACATTTTATCATGAAAACTTCATTAATTAAAAAATAAAAATAATAACAAAAATTTTTTTTTGTTTACTTTTAGAGACATGTTTTTTTCAATTTATCAATCATGCAGTATTTTTTTATACTCATCATTTATACCTTATAAGGATAACAATTTTTTTTTCAAATAGCAACATACATAATTAACTAGCTTATACTTATTAATTAAGTAGCGGTGTAATTAAGATACAGATTATTTGATAGCAACTGTTGAACCAATATTTTATAATTTACTATTATTTTTATACCTATGTGGGAGGAGAAGCGTAGCCAAGAAATGTATAATTTAAATTATAAAATTATCAGCACACGCTGTCATTACTTTAATTTGGTAATTACTTCTATAATTATGATTCAAATTTTGTTATTGGCCAGTTATTTTCTTAATTAGATCATTATCTGTTGAATAACCTAGTTAATTATGTATATTTATACTTTTAAAAACATTTGTTACCCTTATAAGGTGTAAGGGACATATATAAAAAATAATTTACGATTAATAAATTAAGAAAAAAATGTATCTAAAAGAAACAAGAAAAAATTATCAATTTTATTTTTCAATAAATTAAGCGGTTCATGATAAAATAATTACTATGTATATTTATACTGAAAACATTGAAAATTGAATTCCTAATCAATAGATTAACTTAGCATTGAATCTTCGATTTAATAGTAAATATATTATAGTTTATTATTATATTTAAAAATGAAATTCAACAGTTTTTTCAAATTCGAATAGAATATCAAGGTAACATTGGTAAATATGCAATTATTATTTCTCTAGAAAATCAACTAACTAGCATTTATATAATTAGAACTTCTTTTAAATTTGTTTAACGTGTAAAAAATATGATATCATTAATCATATTGTTTCACATAGAAATACTGATTTTATAAGCAGAAAAAAATGGTTATTAAAAATTTAACAAATTGAATAATTATATTTAATATTCAAAAATAAATGTTTCGACAAACAATACAATTGTAACTTTAAAATATCTTAACACATTTCAGTAAAAATATTTTTAAAACAAAGATATTTATTTATCAGTATTTTCCTGGCAATTTTACGTTGCTGATTTATTTTTGAAACCAAAATTGTGGCAGAATTTTTTAACGCCATCCTGATCAACTTCTCCATTGCTTACTTTCTTAAGAATATTGTATGGAAAATTATTTAAAATAGATGATGTAAACATTTTTATTATCTCAGGTTCATTACCTTCAAATTCATAATGAATCTTGAATTCATACAAATTATAAAAGATTTTTAGTGATGATAATGTTTTATAGAATTCCGTAGTTTCTTGTGTACTAAAATAATGAGAATTTACCTGTTTAGTGTATGTGTAAGTATTTTCATGCCATGTTTTCAATTTATTAAATGCCTCAAGAACAGCATTAGGCTTATTTAAGAATTCCAATGCTTCAATCATACAATTTATCAAGGGATTTAAATAATGAACAAGTATGTAGAAATGCTGGAAGGCCTCATTTTTATTAATATCATGGATATGCGATGACTTATAAACATTTGACATTTTATAGTGTATATCATCTAATAATTCCAAAATGATGAAGTAAATTGAACTCAGCAAAATCGAACATTGCTCTAATTTTTGTTGTCCATTAATTTCAGTGACAATAATTTTTTTATGTTCGTCTAGCCTAATTAAATCTTTTACTGTAATAGTTTGACTGTATTTAGTTGTATCATCACAGTGGGTGACTCTGAATTCTTCTACCGATTTCCAACCACTTTGACTGAGAATTTCATTGAGCTGGTCAAAATTTATATTATTTTGACTAGATAAAGTTGTAGTTGCGAAAGATAAACGAATAAAAATGCACTGTACTAGTAAAATGTACATTATTAACCGTTGAGGAGATAAGTTTACTATTATCAACTACTTGTATACACGGAAAATAAAGTATACCTATTGTATTGAATATATTATACTATTTCTTATGTAAACAATCTTAAATTATTAAAAAAATATGTTTACTTAGAAATAATATAGTTTTGGTTTTTAATTTAAATCGATATACACATTAATTATATTTTATTTAAAATAACATAATATTATACATGATATCACTTTAAACCTAAAATTATGTTCTTCTGTTGTTTGATTATGAAGTCAGTTTTTATAATACGTGTAAATTAACGCCTCAAAAATATGTTTGGTACAAATGATCAATAATAATAAATAAAAAAACCCAGCACAGTGGCGTCGGAGACTAGTGATAGGATCCTTGATATTTATTGAAGTTATTGAATCTTAATGAGATAAAAATCAAATGATTTGACATTTTTTTCTAACTCAAAAAAATGAAAAATATTAATGCCACAGGCGGATTCGAACCTCGTACCCTTAGCGTAAAAGACACAAGTGTTACTGATTCGGCAACTGTTCGTCGCTTTTGACACATGATAAAATTAGCAATTTAAGCTAAGTCAAATTTAAAAGTTACTTTTTCGACTTTAAAAAAGCAAAAAAATTTAAATAAGTTTAATTTATTATGTCTTATGAACTGTATTCTATGTCATTTAATTATATAATATTCATCAAAGTTAATGTATTGCCCTTATAAGATATTTTAAAATAAAATAAAATACAAAACCCAGGATTTAAACACCAAAATAGCATATTTTTGAACACGGTAGCCATTTGCACATAGAAGATAAGTCGTCGGGAAAAATTTTATAGTACATAAAATAAGCTTTAATTTGATATATGTTTAAAGAACGCAGTATTTCAGGAACATTTTCAAAAGTTAAGTTGAAAAAGTTAGTTTTTGTAAAAAAGTGAAAAAAATTACAAAATTTACTGATTTTTAAATTTGTAATTTTTTCGGAGATTTCCCCCATTTGCGGGGGACGAGGAAAAATTTTTCAATTTCTAAGGGTAATGTCTTCAATTAGATACGATTTGTGATATTTTGACGTATTGTTGAAAGAAATCGGTCCAACGAGAGCTGAGAAAAAGTGGCGACAGACATAAAAATAAAAAAATGGTAAAATTAATACCTTCTCAGCTTTACATCGAAGCTAAAACTATTATAATTTGTATTATAACAGATTGATTATTAAAACTATACTTATAACGGTTTTTGAAGTAATAGTTTTTATTTCAATAAGATATATTATTTTAATTTAATAGAAAAAACATGTTAGGTAAAATTATTAACACGTTTAACTTCTTTATTTGAATAAAAATTTAATGAATATTTTTCGTGTAAATTATTACTGAAAAAATATGAATATACTATTTTTTTTCATTAGTTCTTCGTTTAAATCTACCGAATACAAAAAGACACTGTCGAGTTGTGCCCTAATTGTTTATATTACAGTTAAGACAATTTAAATATACAAGTCTTAAAAATATGATCAACAATTAAGATTTTGATAACATGTTGACTACAACGTATACAAAATTTTCTATATTTTATAATTTTGCTTAGCCCGTTGCATAATTGGTACAACATAATTATACTAGGAAAGGGTCGGAACTGGTCGACTACTTTCTCTTAAAAATTAATCGTTTGAGTTTTAACACCCCGTGTATGATTTATGATTAGTCGTAAATTGCTTTCACGGCCAATGTAAAATGCAACGATTTCGTTAAACTTAAGTGAGTCAGTCTTCAGAGATGAATGGATATGAAGATAGAGACTAAATCGCAATTATTAAGTGTTAAAATAATAATAATAACTAAACATAAAACAAAATGTCCCCGATCAAGAAATTACAAGATTTTTAAACAAATATCTCATGAATATATAATTACCATATGAGCTAAAAAGTAATTAACATATAATTTGCAGTCGAGATTTAATCAACTGTGATTTTTCTTGCATAAAGTGTAGTCGATATATGCATTACACTGTTGCTTATAAAGTGTTACGATTGTATTTGTACAATGTGAACCTGTTTCAGTCAACAACCGGTCGAATTCCAGATTAAATTGTCAATAGGACTTTCCCTCTCAACCGCCGAGACAAATATATTGTTCTACGCTTCTTCGACAATATTAAACTAAAAATAATTGAACAAAACCTATAAAAATCAACTCGAACTTTGATTAAATGTAAAACGCTGAAAGTTCTAAATATCTCGAATCGTTTAAAAAATTTTCATCGACGTTAACATTTATACTTAGTAGCAGTGAGAGAATACTTTCTAAATGTCATCGACCAGTGACCAATCCGACGGGGGCGTTGAATTTATAGAGCGTTTAACTGTTAAATAATATCTCTTGTAGTTATCGTTCGGGTATTGGTCGAAACAGCTGATAGGAACGGCGGTGTGAACTTGCTCTTTAAAAAGAGGAAAACCAGCAGTCAAAATCGTGAGACTGGGTAAAATATGATA